TTTTTTTTTTTTTTTCAATGAGCAGGTTATCTTTGTTTTAGGAGATACGGCCCAGCATTCATTGTTGGTTAAGACTTGAACACATGACACAATTGCAGGCAATGATACAGAAGGAAAATTTGCTGGGTCCTCTGGAAGATTGCTTGGCTCTTGCAAGGATATGAAGCAGTGACTGTAAAAATAGTGAGAGACCAGACCCACTTTACCCATTGCGAGATAGACTTTGGCCAGGTCTCCATTTATCACGAGGCTTCCATAAAACCTTTCTCTAAGCTGTTCATGTTGGTGCCTGTAGTGCCAGTTCCAGGGGAGGTTGAGCTGGAGGATCACTAGAGCCCAGAAGTTCAAGTCCAGCCTGGGCAACATAGAGAGATGCCAACTTTCAAAAAGGAAAAAATACAAATCAATGGACCACAATGGTGATTTGGGTCCTTTGAAATCCATTTTAGTGCAGATCCTTGGTTAGAAATTCTGAGCATTCCTCTTTATTCACTCTGTAGTTACTGTTAAGGGATAGTAAATGACTACCCCTGTGAGAAAGGATCAGGGGCCCCTCCCTTCTATTCTGGGCTTTCAACTTGAACCACCTTAGATCTGGAAACTAGATGAGGAACTGTGATTTTTCCTTCCCATGATTGATGTCAGCTTGCTGTTTGTCAATTCTTAGGTTCTTCTTTTCTTTTTTTTTTTTCAGTTGTAGATGGACAGAATGTCTTCATTTATTTTATTTGTTTGTATGTGCTGGTGAGGATCAAACCCAGTTGCTCACATGTGCTAGGCAAGAGCTGTACCACTGAGCTACAACCTCAGCCCTATCAGGTTCTTTATGAGGGGGGGGCAGTAATAAAAATCAAATACTTTTTTTTTTTTTGTATCAGGGATTGAACTCAGGGACTTTCAAACACTGAGCCCCAGCCCCAACCGCATTTTGTATTTAATTTAGACACAGGGACCCGCTGAGTTACTTAGTGCCTCGCTGAGGCACTTGTTGCTGAGGCTGGCTTTGAACTTGAGATCCTCCCAGCCAAATCAAACATCTTCAACCAAGGTACTTCTGTCTTGCCCCCTGGAACATATGAACATCAACTTGTTCAGACTCATGTCTTGGTGGTCATTAAGTTAATTATCAATCAATAGGCTCATTTGATTAGAAGAGGCACAGATAATCTCCCTATTTGAGGTCAACTAATTGGGAACTGATTGGGAACCTTAATTATATCTGTAAAATCCTTAACAGGAGTACCTAGATTACTGTTTGAACAACTGGGAAAAGATGTGTGCACGTGGGTCAGGTGAAACTTGGGGACATCTTAATTTCACCTCGCACACTTCCTGCTGTTTGGGAGTAGAAACAATGTGCTTATCAGAACCAGATGAACCTGTGTTTACCATACGGCAAGTGAATTCAAAGCACATTTATTAGTAAGCACTATGCTACAGTGTGGAATCAGAGGCAGGGGTGGTGTGAAGGTGGAGGCCATGCCCTGGACAAATGTGAATAGTATGAGTGGCACAAGCTGTCCAGTGGAGGCCCAGAAGCTCATCCAAGGGAGAAAGGGGTAGGAGCAGAGTCCAGGATATCCAAAACCCTAGCCTGAGAGGAGGCACCAGGCAGGCACCTGCCTATATGCTGGGAGCACTCCCAGGTCTGGCTTCCTAAAGCAGGACTTAGTAAGACACAGATAATGCCCAGAGACTCCTCACGGGTGACTTGATTTTCGCTTCCACCTCTGATATAGACCAACCCTTAATATTGCAAGTAGAATTCATATTCATGATGAGGGCATCACCTGGGGCTTTACACAGGCATTTTTGCTCCTTCAATTTGAATCCCTTTCATAGGTAACCTCTCATTTCCCCGCCCAGCATTACGTCACTGGGGCTGGGCGGGATCCCAGGATAGAAAAGCAGAGCTGCTGGCTGAGGCAGTCTTCCCTAAACCAAGAGTTCTGGCCTCCTCTCGCTCCAAAGAGGCCTTCACCTCAGCTCCTTCACCAGCTTTGGGCATCATGCGTGAAATCGTGCTCATCCAGGCAGGCCAATGCGGCAACCAGATTGGCGCCAAGGTGGGCACATCGCTGGGGAGTGGATCCTGCGTGACACAGGCCAGGGCAAAGGGTTCCAAGGATAAGAGTGGACTGGGGTGGGGGGTCTGGCATGCGCCGCTACCAGGTGTGCCAGGGCGGCACATGAATATGGTGATGGAGCTAGGTGTGCCTTGAATCAGTGACCTTTAAATTACCTAGGGACACATCCATCCTTTGTGGGCACACTTTTCCTCATGATGGCCACTTTCTTCCTCTGCCACTCAGATGCCCTCCCAACACCATGCCTACCCTCCCTCACTCATTCCTTGCCAGGGTTAGGATCCAGAGGCCAACATGTACATGGCCACCAATGACCTGTACCCTTCAAAGCTGCTGAGGTTTGTGCAAGGAGTGGGGCCACTTGATCCTTGGTCCTGCTAGAACCCATCCTGGGACCCATTCATTAGCACGGATTCAGGGACATTCAAACTTGCCCGGAGGGACAGCCCCACTGTGCCCACTGCTTCCTACAAGAGGTTCTTGGTCGTCCCCTTTTCTCCCAATGTGCTTCCAGCCCGTCAGTCTGTGACCATATATGGCTTGTGCCCTGCAGACTTCCAAACCCCTAGGAAGCAACCGATATAGGAAATAGACCAGCTTTCTGGTCTTAGACTGACACTCTTAACTCTCTGACTACTATTCCAAGGCTATTCTAGTGACAGGATGCTGGGCCATGAGTGATTTTTTTTTTTTCATTTCAGTTTTGGGAGGTCATCAGTGATGAACATGGCATTGACCCCACAGGCAGTTATCATGGAGATGGTGACTTACAGCTGGACAGAATCAGTGTGTACTACAATGAAGCAGCTGGTGAGTATATGCATATTAAACTTTCTTCCAATACTGTGGCAGTGGAAAAGTCCTAGGTGCAAAGAAATGACAAAGGAATGCATTTTTGCACGTTCATATAAAATGCCAACCTCAAAAAACAGATTTCATAGTTCCTTAATAGTCCTTTTTTATTTAACGCAACTAAGCATGCACAGCATTTTTTTTTCTTTTCCCTTTTTCATTCCTTTGTCTCAAATGTTGGAATCTTCTGTAATGAATTCTTCTGTGAGAACTACATAGAATTATGGCCCTACCCATGTTTCTTTACCAAGCACAAGTGTAAGTGAGCTTTTGTTCCTGCAGGCAATAAATATGTTCCTCGGGCCATCCTAGTGGACCTGGAGCCAGGAACGGTAGACTCGGTGAGATCGGGACCATTTGGCCAGATATTCAGGCCAGACAACTTTGTGTTTGGTATGTCCTCATGGTCCATGGGACTGTGATTCACCTTCTTCCTGCCAGCCACACACTCCACAGTTCTCAGTGTTCTGTGCCCAGGTGAGACTGTGTCCACAGATGGCCCCAGTCCTGGCCTAACCCCTTGCATGGGGGTGGGGAGATATCTCTGGTCACTCTGGACAGCTCAGGATTTCATGTCAGCCTCCTTTACAGCAACCCCTGAAGGGAAAGACTCAAGAGCAAGAAGAGCTTCTAATGAGGCTTAATAGGCTACAGGTCACTTGATGGGACCAGGGAAAACAGTGAATCAAATTAAAGTAATGAAGGCCAAAAACAGAGCCTGTGACCAAGATTCAGACATCTGCCTAGAGTCCCTCTTTCCCTCTGATCACACTGTGCCTTCCTCTTGCCTCATGGTACTGCATGAGAGTATTGAACAATGTTCCCCTAGTTGCAGAGGCGGCTGAATTTTGTCAAACGTTTTCTCTTCCTCAACTTGTTTTTTTTTTTCCACCTTGGGATGATCGCCAGCATTTTTGAGGTTCACTGATAACATTCAGTCTTGCAGACAGTCTTAGGTAACCAAAGCATATCTAAAAGGTTTTGTAAGACTAGTCTCACCTTCTCCACAGTGCAAATGACAGCACCCAGAATCCTTGTCCATTTGTGTCTCATATTCTCTTTCCTGTGGTAGGCCAGAGTGGTGCAGGGAATAACTGGGCCAAGGGCCACTACACAGAGGGAGCCGAGCTGGTGGACTCTATGCTGGATGTGGTGAGAAAGGAGGCGGAGAGCTGTGACTGTCTGCAGGGCTTCCAACTGACCCACTCCTTGGGGGGAGGCACTGGCTCAGGCATGGGCACCCTGCTCATCAGCAAGATCCGGGAGGAGTACCCAGACCGCATCATGAACACCTTCAGTGTCGTGCCTTCACCTAAGGTGTCAGACACGGTGGTGGAGCCCTATAATGCCACCCTGTCTCTCCACCAGCTACTGGAAAACACGGATGAAACCTTCTGCATCGACAACGAAGCCCTGTATGACATCTGTTTCCGCACCCTAAAGCTGACCACCCCCACGTATGGTGATCTCAACCACCTCGTATCAGCCACCATGAGCGGGGTCACCACGTGCCTGCGCTTCCCGGGCCAGCTGAACGCAGACCTGCGCAAGCTGGCCGTGAACATGGTGCCCTTCCCCCGCCTGCACTTCTTCATGCCTGGCTTCGCGCCCCTGACCAGCAGGGGCAGCATGCAGTACCGCGCCCTGACGGTGCCCGAGCTCACCCAGCAGATGTTCGACGCCAAGAACATGATGGCCGCGTGTGACCCCCGCCATGGCCGCTACCTGGCAGTGGCTGCCATCTTCCGAGGCCGCATGTCCATGAGGGAAGTGGACGAGCAGATGCTCAACATGCAGAACAAGAACAGCAGCTACTTCGTGGACTGGATCCCCCACAACGTGAAGACAGCCGTGTGCGACATCCCACCGCGGGGCCTCAAGATGTCAGCCACCTTCATTGGCAATAACACAGCCATCCAGGAGCTCTTCAAGCGCATCTCTGAGCAGTTCACTGCCATGTTCCGGCGCAAGGCCTTCCTGCACTGGTACACAGGCGAGGGCATGGACGAGATGGAGTTCACTGAGGCTGAGAGCAACATGAACGACCTGGTGGCCGAGTACCAGCAGTACCAGGATGCCACTGCTGAGGAACAGGAAGAGTTCGACGAGGATGAAGAGGAAGAGGTCGAGGAGGCTTAGGAACTTCTCAACCTCCTGCGTCAACTTGTTGTCCACCAGCTCCTCTATGATTGTCAACTAAGCTGCTCAGGTGTGTCTGTCCAAGTGCACTGTACTGATAATATCTGTACTCCTAATTCAGGACTCCATACTCTCCCAATTTTCCTTCTTGCTGTTCTCAAAGTTTCAGGATTTTCTTTTTCATCAGGATAGGTTTTCTGCTTCAGTGCTTTTGAGCAGTATTCCTGTTCCTTTAGTAAAGAGATGAAACTCTTTTTTTCTTTAATCTTCCCTTTCCCAAAGTTTTCAAATAAAGATATTCTCAAAAGCAATCTGGGAATGATGGTGTTCCAGAATCTTTGTGAATTTGTAGAATCTAGGCCTTTTAGGTAAGGACTTCTCTTTCTCTGAATCCTTTTGAACAATGTGTTGAATACAAAGAAAATCAAGTGCTGCTTTACCTGGCAGATAAAAAGTATACTCTAAATTGGAGGTGTTCTAAAAGAGCAGTCAGGGACACAACAGAGTTCTGCCTAAAATGTATTTGAAAAGCACAGCAGGAATTTAAGAGAATGATGGAAGCTAACAATTTAACATTTTTTTTTTAAATTACATCTTTCTACCTATTGAAAGCAGCCTCCAGTTTTAATATTCTGATGGATTAGGATCCCATTTGGAGAGAGAAAAAAGCTGGGAAGGCAGGTGAATTGAGGTATGCAGTAAGGAAAGGAGTTTCTGAGGCTCTAGGATATGGTGGGAATAGGCAGCAATACAATCAGCCCTGTGCTAAGGAACCAGTAAGACATGAAAGTCCTTACGGGTGGCTTCATTGTAGGAAGTGTTTTGCTAACTTGTTGAATGCAGAATGCAAGTGTAAGTTGTTTGCCTTCTGGCATCAGATGAAACTTTTTAAATAAAAGGTATATTAGAGCCTGGGGTTGTGGCTAAGTGGTAGAGCACTTGCCTAACATCATATAAGTAAGTAAAGGTATTGTGTCCATCTACAACAAAAGATAATTTTAAAAATATCTTTAAAAAAAACCAACTATAATGACACATCTTGGAAAACCCTTTCTCTCCCCAACATTTCAAGAAAATCTAACTGCCATGTTTTTCCCCACAACTTGCTCCTAGGGAGACATTTTTATATTCATGGAAAGTTTATACTGCTACCTTACATGAGGGTGAAGCCTGCTAGAGGTTCTGATCACTTCATAGGTTGGTGGAAGAGGGATCAATTAACAGTGGCACACACTGTATTTGGAACTACACTAGGGAACAATATGGAAAACTGAAAGCAGGTGAAGTGATTTGGTGGATACTTCTTTTGGTGTTTTTTTTGTTTTGTTTTTGGTACTGGGGATTGAACTCAGGGGCACTTGACCACTGAGCCACAATCCCAGCCCTATTTTGTATTCTATTTAGAGACAGGGTTTCACTGAGTTGTTAAGTGCCTCACCATCACTGAGGCTAGCTTTGAACTTGTGGTCCTCCTATCTTGGCCTCCTGAGCCACTGGAATGACAGGAGTGCACCATGGATCCCTGCTTGGTGGATACTTTAAAAGAAAAAAGAAGCCAGCTAGGCTGGGAAAGTAGGAGGAGCACTTGCCTAGCACTTGCCCAGAGGGAGGTCTTGTAACTGTCAGTTTTTCCTTCCAAGACCATGCAAAACTGCTAACCCAAAACACTCTGATTTTCATGGGGGGGGGGGAGGACCTGTTTTACAGTTTAGCTATTGTGAATTGTACTGCTATTAACATTGATGTGGTTGTGTCCCTGTAGTATGCTGTTTTTAATTCATTTGAGTGTAGAGCAAGGAGAGGGATAGGTGGGTCAAATGGTGGTCAAGTTTCCCAAGGAATCTCCATACTGCTTTCTATATTGGCTGCACCAATTTGCAGTCCCACCAGCAATGTATGAGTGTATCTTTTCTCCCACATCCTCTCCAACACTTATTATTGTTTGTATTCTTAATAGCTGCCATTTTGACTGGAGTGAGATGATATCTTAGAGTGGTTTTGATTTGCATTTCTCTAGTTGCTAGATATGTTGAACATTTTTCACGTATTTGTTGATTGATTGTATATCTTCTGAGAAGTGTCTGTTTAGGTCCTTGGCCCATTTATTGATTGGGTTATTTGTTGTTTTTTTTTGTGCTTAGCTTTTTGAGTTCTTTATATACTCTAGAGATTAGTGCTCTATCTGTGTGAGGGGTAAAAATTTGCTCACAAGATGTAGGCTCTCTGTTCACCTCACAGATCGCCTTTTGCTGGGAAGAAACCTTTTAGTTTGAATATATCCCATTTATTGATTCTTGGTTTTAATTCTTGCACTATAGGAATCCTATTAAGGAAATTGGGGCCTAATCCCAAATGATGAAGATTAGGGCCTACTTTTTCCTCTATTAGATGCAGACTCTCTGGTTTAATTCTTAGGTCCTTGATCCACTTTGAATTGAGAATTGTGCATGGTGAGAGATAGGGGTTTAATTTCATTTTGCTGCATATGGATTTCCAGTTATTCCAGCAACATTTGTTGAAGAGGCTATCTTTCCTCCAATGTATGTTTTTCGCACCTTTGTACCCTTCAGTAGATGAATGGATAAAAAAAATGTGGCATATATACACAATGGAATTTTACTCAGCAATAAAAGAGAATAAAATCATGGCATTTGCAGGTAAATGGATGGTACTGGAGACGATAATGCTAAGTGAAGTTAGCCAATCCCCAAAAAACAAATGTTTTCTCTGATATAAGGAGGCTGATTCATAATGGGGTAGGGAGATGGAGCATGGGAGGAATAGACGAACTCTAGATAGGGCAGAGGGGTGGGAGGGGAAGGGAGGGAGCAGAGACTTAGCAAGGATGGTAGAATATGGTGGACATCATTATCCAAAGTACATGTATGAAGACACGAATTGGTGTCAACATACTTTATATAGAACCAGAGATATGAAAAATTGTGCTGTATATGTGTAATAAGAATTATAATGCAAAAAAAAAAAAAGAAAGAAAGAAAACCCATTTATCCCATTTTAGAAAGCTTTAAAAGGTGGTGATGGGTGAGCTGCAAGCTCCTTCCAGCTGCTAAAGCTGGTAGAGGACATGCCCAAGCTTTACACAACCAAGCATTTGGGGATGGGGGTGGACATCTCAAGGAGAAGTTCCTTTTCTCAAATGCAGTCATGACTAAAGCATTAGAAATAAAAGTGAGGCAGCTTGAGTGGACTGCTTCTGCTGGGCACCCTGGATTGTTGCTTTCACCTGGTGTGTGGAGGACAAAGCCTTCTCCAATGTGCTGGAATCCTAGGACTCTGGCTGGAGGAGCCTTCAGACTGAAGTGAAAGCTTTCTTTCCATAGCAGCTACAAGTAAACCCGAAGTACCATCAATGGGTTAAATGTATGTGTTCTTTGGAGCAGGACATGGCTGGTCTCACCAGGATGATCTATCCTGGCAGGTTCTATCATCTCCCTAAGCCATTGTCCTTCATCTGCAAAATGGGGGCAATCATAGTTTCTTTCCCATGGTTTTATTCCAGGACAAAATGAGAGGATGCATGGAAGGTGCACAGCATGGTGTATCTGTAGGCACATAGCACTTGAGTGTCACCTCTGCTATTGCACCTTAGAAAAGTCCTTATGATGATCAGCTCTTTGATTATATATTCTAACTTATGAAAGTCTTTATAAAGGTTCTGCTTGCTTATAGCATACTGAAGAACTGCTCTGACTCGGGAGCAGAATTGATTTACCCTTGTTGACTGAGACAAAAACCCCAAATGGGAAAATTTTCCCCCAAAAAAAAATTTGCAAAATGTGAATAAGATTTGCCTAAAAACGGTCAGACTCCACTCTTTTGGAGTCTTTACCAAAGACTTGCCTTAGTTAGCACTGCATAATTCTGTTTAAAGTTCATCCTGAGCAAAGTCTTGTGCTGACTGCTTTCTTTTCAGAGAAGGCAATTAAAGTAGCTCCTTGGAACAGTAGGAGAGCCAGCAGAGGGAAAAGTCACCAGGGCATTAGGAATGGGCAGGGCAAACTCACTGCCCCCCAGGCAGGAAGAGGACTAGAAGTGAAAGCTCCAAGAGTCATCCTTCCCTCAATGTCTACCTCCAAGTAACCTGGCTTTCCTATTCTTCACATAAGTGAGAAAGGTCAAGGTTTCTTTTCCTAGGTCCATTCATGTCACTCCAACTAGTGTACAGCTCACATTGGCCTGCCCTAACAGGCAAGGTCCATCTTAGCACTGGTGGCCAGACTTGAAGAGCCAAAGAAGCTGCAGGAGAGGCCATTACCACCCTTCTGAAACCCAGAAAATGGACAAGGTCTAGTCCAGTAACACCCCTCATTGCCAGTCTGGCAACACATCCTCCAGTAAACCCACCAAAGTCCCAGTCCCCTGTGGAAAGGAACATGCTCCCATCAGCCCTTCCCTGCTGTGATGGTTAACTTTGTGTCCATTTGAATGGACCTCATAGTGCCCAAATATTGGATCCAATACTTTCTGTGTCTGAATGTGTTTGGGGGTGATGACAGCATTTTAATCCATAGAGATTTCCTTCCCTAATGTGAGTGGGCCTTGTCCAATCTGTTGAAGGCCAGAATGGAATAACAAGGCTGAATAAGAGAGAATTCCTTCTGCCTGATGGCCTTTAACCTATCCACTTTTGTCAGCCTTGGAACTTGGCAAAACATAGGCTCTTATTAGGTTTTGAGCTTGCCAGCTCCAGGATCCACTATAGAATTGCCTCTTCTGGTTCTCTGCCCTTTGATCTCAGACTACAGCCACCCACCCAATTGGCTCTGCAGGATCTCCAGGTCGATGACTCACGCTGTAAAAATTGGGATCTGTCAACTTTCCTAACTGCATGAGCCAATTCCTCCTAATCTGTCCCTCTCTTTCCTCATACACACACCCCTTACTGGTTCTGGTTCCCTGAAAAACTCTAACAGACTCCAGTACCTCTGCTAATAATGGTTCTGAAAGCTGGTAGAGAGAGCAACCTGGCCCTGATGCCATGCCAACAATTCATTAATGTCTCCTGAGGCCCCTGTCACCTGCACCCACATCAGCGTTCCATCGGAAAAAAAAAATGCGTGTGTTGTGCTCTTTTTTCTCTTCAATGTACCAATGCCTCCTCATTAAAGCCTCACAAATGAGTCTTCGGGTGGGCTTGGCGGCGCAGTCCGATTTAGGGTTCGGTGGGCAGCACCAAGGCCGGGAGCAAGGAGCAGTAG